GAAACTGAAGCCAGTGACGTTGCAGAAGGAAGAAGCGAGAGATGCACCAGCGAGTGAGAGTTTTCCGAGGTGACCCACCATTACCATTGAGATAAGCTGCCTCATTGATTGAGCTATACCCACTGCAGCCATTGGAGCTGCGAAACAGATAAGACGTTTGAGTTCGTGTGTGAATGATCCGCCTCTTAGATCTCTCCATGTCACTTTCTCGACTCTGTCTACAACAGGCAGAAGCAAGCTTTCCTTGCTGGTGGTTGTGTTCTCTGCGTCCGCCATGGCCGGAGAAAGAGAGAGATTGAGTTGCGAGGAAATGGTCAAACAAGGCGGGGCCGGGGTTAGTACTTTCTAAACGTTTTTGTAAGAAAATTTGATTAACATTTGGCAATTTTTTTCTGCGATTCAGATATTATAATTTTCTACTGACAAATAATTAACTGTGGAAATTTGGAAAAATGCCTATTTTAGCTTTTTAAATTTGAAAAATACCTTCTTTTTATGTTTTTGAAAAATACACTTTATTAAATATGAAATTACGAAAAAATCATCAAAAAATCTGTATAACAAATTACATATTTAAAATTGAATTAATTTGTTGTGAGAAATTAATATATATATAACCTATATTTTAGGAATTTGGAATTTGATGTTATTTGTCTGCTTTTAAACTCCTAGATTTTCGTTTGCTATGTTGGCTTTTATCTCTAGTTTTTGATTTGCTAAACTCTGGGTTTTGTAGTGATTTTTAAGATATTGTTTATCAATAAATTTGATTGTATATATCACTGGTAAAAAGTTTCTTATTAAGCTTTCTTCATGTTGTCTTTTCCACGACTCTTCTCTGTTATATGTGTGCGCCTTTTGCTGGGTCATCAAAGATTCTGAAGACATAACCACTGCAAAGCAATGCTCAAAACTCCTGCTTCATATCGATGTTTTTTTATATATTTAATAGTAAATATTAAACTTTAAATCAACAAACAGTTTTATCTCAAAACAAAAAAAATTAGTGATAATTATATATACGAATTAACTAATTTTAATCAATAATTCAATTTTATCTCAAATAAAAATAAAATTAATATTAATAATAATTATATATACGAATTAATTAGTATTAAAATTAAATGGTGATAAAACAGTCTTTTCAATTATGAAAAGAGATATTTAAAAAAATAAATAATAAGGTGTATTTTTCAAATTCCCAAACTTAATTGATGTATTTTTCAAAAAACTCCTAATTAATTTATGTATCGATCAATATTGAATATCGTACAAAAAAAGCTGTGTACAACTTTGGAAAATCGTATAATTTTCTATTGATAAATAAAGATGTGTTAGCTTAATTGAGGTTATAATAAGTATCAAAACGCAATCAACAAGTAGTAAAATTGAAAGAGAAGGA